TATCTTCTAAATGATATCTCTGGTAGTTCTCCACATTCCCGCCTCATACAGTAGAAGTGTCTTGACGTTTGTATTGAAAATTCAAACTTTGGTGTTGGCTGGAGTACAATTGTTCTGAGTTCCAGATACGCGTCAATCGTAAATGTGCTGCCCTTGCTTTGCTTATCCGTACCTTGACATCTAAATCAGATCCACCTGGCTCGTCAGTGATGCTGGTCCAAGACATCTTCATCAAAGATGATCTCACCCAATCAATAAGCCTTCAAACAACCCCAATGCACATTCTACTCTGCACTACTGACTACATCGCATCATATAAATTTAGTCAAACTCTCTCACCATCTCTTTCCATTAACAATATCTCACTTTCTTTTTTCTACCAATTTACTCTAAACGACTTCAATAAACAAAGCATTTTTTTTTAAATAAAAACTAATTCAATTTCAATATCCTTTTTCCTACTTTCTTTTTTTTCTCCTATGCTCAAAATAAACAACTAATTTTCTTTTTCTTTTTATTTTTATTTTTCTTACAATAAATTCTCTCTCTAGTTTCAACGTATTTCTGGTAAAGAAACTATACCGGAATATAAAGTACAAGATGTACAAGCATCACGTTTTATTTTATTACATTATAGTTTATTTAAAATTATTTGGGATTGGATGATATTACTGTGTACATTTTATATTGCAATCATGGTCCCTTATAATGCAGCATTTTCTCAGGGAGGTGATGAAAAAGATTTAATTATATGTGATATTATAGTGGAATTATTATTTATTATAGGTAAGTAAGTAAGTAAGTAAAAGGCGATTTGGTTTTTTGTGTTGAATGCAGGAATGAATGAAAAAATTTTTTAATGATTTAATGAATAAAACTGGAGAGATTGTTTTATTGTTTTATTTTTTTTTATGTTCAATAATCTTTATGACCGGTTATTATTATTATTATTAGGGAAAAAAGTTGATCTATGATTACAACTCGTTATGTAAATGCTCTGATTGTGAAGATGATGATGGAACTGAGGCATTACCGCTAATTCTTGAATGGTTGTATTGAATTTGAAGTATGGTTCACCACTTTAGTAGCCGAAGATCTGACTTACAAATCTGTAAGAATGATCGACTATGTGATGAAATCGATATTCTCTTCAGTTTCGGTATAATATACTGACATATTCATCATTATTTACACTTGAAGCAATTACGAGTTCATCTTAGTCGATAAATGCGAACGAGACAATGAACCAGCGTCCAGATAGGCTTCTTTGAATCCCAAGCTGTAAACAGAAGGCTTGGTAAGCGTAGAAAGTATATTTTACAAATACCCAGCAATCACAATACAATCAAGCATACAACTATCGTTTATTTATACATCATAGAAACGTCCTTGGGACAGTTACGAAAATAGCACACTAAAATACACAGCAGTCAATCACAGCCATGGATGTTCCTGGTGGGAAATGAAATCTCAAAGTCAGCTGATCATCTCATGCTCGCAAACGTGAAATCCAAGATAAGGCATTTATCAAGCGAGTTCTGCGGATCTAACATCCCCAACACATACATAGTCAAATCTATTTTGTGTGACGTTGATGAGTAAGAACCTGAATATTGTTTTGTAGATGAATTGATGTTAAACATACATTTAAGCAGACAAACATGATAATGAAAACCGTACTAGCAAAGCAAAGCGAAGCGAATTGGAGGAAGCAAGTGAGTCAAATCAATGTGCTGGGGCATGACCAACTGTATCTACAGTCAGGTGATAAAATAAGCCCAACAAGTGATGAGAGAAGTAAGCAATGAACACAACCACACACTCAAATAGTTAGGAGGACGTGTAAGTAACTCCAGCAGAATGGATTGATTAATTTGTCCAAAGGCTGCGAAAAGCCCCATGAGCTTGACACATTTGTACACCACATTGCACTTGAATCACTCAACGACTGATATCCTGTATGACTGGGATATTTACAGCTGATCACTTTTCACATACACAACTCATGTCTATCTAAGTCCTCATTGGTAATCAAATTCTATTGATGTCTAATACATTTTTGTTAGTTTTTTAGGTTAAGATGGATTTTCCGTAAATCACCTAAACAAAGTGGTCTTATTTTGGGGCAGAGTTTTGGAGGTTTGTGTTTTTACACATTTAAAATCATGAATCGAACAATGTTAGACCACTATTAGAAACCTGGAAGCACTGGACGGCCGTTTCGTCCTGGTATGGGACTCACCAGTAGTGCGCATCCAAGACTCCTGCTCCTCACAGGATTCGAACACAGGACCTTCGGTATTGTGCGCGAACGCCTAACCGTCGGACCACTGGGCCGGCATCCAACGGTGTTAATGTCTAACTCTGATTGATCTAGGGATTTCGGTCTTAATTTAGTACTCATTTAACAATTCAAGCAATTTAATTCAGAATATCAGTTATTTATGTTGATTCTGGTGAATAACAAAAATGTTTCCATCCAAAATATTGACGTTCATCGTTTGTTAATTAGATCATTATTTATGTTAATAATTATTACTGTTAGGACAGCTAATTAACGAATAATTAAATGACTGTGAACAGGTTTAATTTAATTAACCCCACATTTTCCTTGAAGGTTTGAAGTTGATTGATCCGCACATAAATTTGGTCTAATTATACACATGAAAATGTTTCACTATCAATGTTTTGTTGAAAACACAAAAGACTAAACATTTCACTAACAGACTTTTATGAATTCTGCAACCGATCACCTGTCAATAATAATACATGTAACTCAGTTATTTTCAATATATTTAAAAACTATCATTAAAGTTATTGTCAGCCTGAAATAGCATTATTTCTTGATGACATCTAAGATCAAAAAGAAACATGCAGAGCATTCTAAAATTAATCAGTGACGCGAAAACTATCATCTTCAAAATTTGGTCCCAAGTCCTTCTGAAATAGCGAATAGACTATGACTACTCTCGTGCATAAATCTAATGTCACAAAATGAGTACAATTAAATTCTTTGTGTGGGTGTGTGTGTTTGTGTAAATTTCAAATACCTTTAAACCATTTCTAACCACTTTTATGTAAGTTTATGTTATTCTCGTCATATGATATGCTTGAAACTATTACAAGCTCACCTAAGTTCATAAACAAGGACACGGTAGGCTACTCTGATCCGCTGACCCAAACTAACTGAAAAAAAATTCTTGATATAGCACAGAAAGTGTATTCCACAAATATACAGTGAACACAATAATCTCAAGTATACAAATCACGTTTATTTATACATCATAGAAACGTCCTTGGAAGGATCACGAAAATAGCACACTAAAATAACATATCAACCAATCACAGCAAAGGATTTTCCCGGCGGGAAATGTGATCTCAAGGTCGACTGATCAGCTCATGAATAAAATTCAAAATGAAAACATTTATCAAGCATGGTTTGGGAGATCTAATATCCCCGAAAATTTATACAAAAAAAACAACTGGTGACTAAAATACAAACCCGCTGATAGACTATCATGTATCAATCATTCTTTGATTTAACTCAACACAGTGTTTGTTATTTTATGCAGCATTGAAATATTTATCAGTTATGTTGTTATTTAGATCAAAGTAATTGAGAATAGTTTTATGTATATTTTCTTGTTTTTATTCATCAACTAATATCTATATGCGCTATCGCGAATAATTAGAAAAAAATACATCCACTTGATAATTCTAATGACGATTACATTTTCTTGCAAAAAAAACTTATAATACTACTTAAAAGATAGGGACTTAATATATATATTGGATTGTGATATAAAATCTTCATAAAGCAATAATAATAATAATCTCATTCATTTTTATGTCGATGAATGAGATGTTTTTTTTTAGTAGGCAGAATAAACTATGAGGTAACTGTCCTCTTTTATTTTTCTGATGCTTAAGCATAATCCTCTTATTTTCATTTGTATTGGACATATATATACATATATTACGGTTTATTTAATGAGTGGATATGTTCAACTATACTGTTTGTTCTTATTCTATGCGGACATACATAAAAGCACACTTTCCATGACACTGATTTCTTTTCGACATGCAAAAACACCAGGAATCTCGGTGCAAACTTGACTTTTGTCATATTTTCTAAGAAACAAACTAATGCTATGTATAATTATAAATTGGTTATCAGTGGGTTTTTGTTATCGTGTAATTGTAAAAATCAAAGCATATTCCCATAGAATCTTGAAATATGTATGTATGGAATTTCATGAGTCTCAAGTCTTGTCATTGTGCACAAATTGCATGACAGGGTTGTCGAGATTATTGGGTTAATTGATTGGAATCATGAATCGATCAATGTTAGACTACCATTAGAAACCTGAAAGCATAGAATAAACTCCTTGAGGAAGTTTCTCCAAGTTTTAAGTAGGAAGTCGTGAGCAGTAAAGTTCAACCTTGTTTGGATATGACGCAATGCTCACCGAAGACAATGGATGAGATTGCCTGAGACTGTGGACATTAATCGACTCAGTGGTCCAGAGGTTAGGCGTTCGAGCGCAAGACTGCAGTAGCGGGAGTTGTATACGCACACTGCTGATTAGTCACATACCAGGAAGAAACAGTGATTTGTTTATGATTCCGATGTGAAAAATTAGAATACATATGTCATATGTTGATAAATTTATTGCCAGAGAATTTTTAAAAAAATTTCAACAAAAAGTTAGATATTAATAACAGTTTAGTAAATATTAGTAGAATATAAATTACGCGACAGAAATACAGTATCAAAAGGTTTAAAACTCATTCTAGTTTTGATCAGTATGATAGAGAGGAAAAACTAACTTGTGTTGTAAAAATTTCTGAAAGGTATAGAAATTAAATATTTATAAGTGGATACTAATGGCCTTATGTATTATGGTGAGTTAATATATTCATGTTTTTAAATCATGAAATGATCAATGAAGAGCTATAAGTGAGATTTAGAAGGAACTAGACAGCTGTTTCGTTTTAGTATGAAACTATTCAGCAATTCACATCTTTAATATAACTACCAATTATCGAGAACAGGACCTTTGGTCTAGAGTATGAAAGCTTGATTTACAAACCACCGAGTCGGCGACCAACTAATAAAGTCTATATCCTCTAGTTGGACAGTATATTTGGTAATGTGATATAGATGACTTAAAATTCACTTTTCTATGCCCACTTGATAACCCGGATTAATTAACAGTTGTATCAACAGAAATGTTCTGATTGATTTTGCCGGTCCACGTTTCAATCAATAACTTACAGTAAATTATTTATTTCTGTTCATTGATAACAAAAGTGAACTATAATTTTCTAGGCTCCCAGAAAATTTCAGAATGCGTCATAAACAGATGCAGTAGAAGCTTCTGAACACTTATTATTGTAATCCGTTTCTCTGAGTTTAGTTTTTCGTTCATGATTACGTCACTTTATTTAGTAACAACATCACTAGAATGAACTGTTAAGATTTTTCCACAAGTGACTGGTGACTATCCTATCGACCTTGAATTTCACTGGTCGTTGTTGACGCTTGTCCTATCGTTGTTCAAACATTTAATTCAATTCCCTATTGACCCAATTCTCGTCTATTTATCACAAACGGATCTGATCTAGGCAGACACTGACAACTTAATTGAGCTGGGTAGTCGATTCCAGACTGTTAATTGTTTTATAACTTGAGTCTCTATCAATGCGTTAAGAAACCGCCGACTAAACTACGTGGCAAACTTGTAAAAAAATTGTAGTCATCTTCATGTCGTCCCTATCCATGA